CATATGAAGGGAATCTTTGCAATAATAAAGTATGAATACAGTGAATAAATCTCTCCAATGGGGCTCTGCTGACCTCTGTTGGAGATGTGGGTAAATCAGTACTTCTGGAAGGAGACAATGAAGCTAGCAGAAAGGTGAATTGTCCCGCGGTTAGTCAATTTTAAGTGGTTAGTTTCGTTTAGTTAAATTAAAAAGAAATAGCTAAATATGCAGGAGCCTAATCCCTGGGTTCGAGCTCCTAGAAACAATGAAATGGGGAGAAGCAGCAAGAACACAGATTGCAACACCACAGCGACTAATTCTGCCAGTGACTATAGAGCCTCTGACTTTGCCCTCCTGCTGGAATTATAAAAATAAACAAACCTCTAATCATGATAGGTGTTCATAAAACCATAAGAATGGCCATACTGGGTTAGACCAATGGTCTGGTCTATCTAGCCCAGTAGCCTGTCTTCCAACAGTGGCAGGTGCCAGATACTTCAGAGGAAGTGAACAGAATAGGGCAAATCATATTTAAATAGTTATCTATGACGAAGAAAGAAAGCTGCACACATACATGCACCAGTGCCATTGAATCAGAAAGCTGGTGTTTTTTGTTACCACAATACAATATAACTGGTCATTTTAAATGGTAGCAATGGTAGGTTGTTATCCGATGTGTGGACTAGGCACTTGAGGGGGTTGAGGCATACCCTGTGCTTGTGTGTTTTGCCAATATTTGCTGTCAGCAAAGGATTGTAAAGATTCAAGACTCCTACATTCAATTCCAGGTTCTGGAGGGGAGTGTGCTGTAGTTGTTATAGACACTTCTGTCTAGTCCTCCTCAAGCTTCTGTTCCCACCCCCTTTTCTCCTGTCTGTCCCTGATCCAGCTCCTGTCCCCTTCCCTTCTCTTTCTATCCACCTCCTCTGCTCATATTCTACCCCGGCCTCCTGGATCCAGTCCCCTGTCCTTCTATCCACTCACTAGTTCCTTCCTCCCTGCTCCTATCCACCACATCACCCCCAGTTCCTGCATCCCTCCCCCTCTGCTTCCATCTACCCCATCATGCCCCAACTCCTGTCCTTCTCCTCTTCTATCCATCCTCACCCCATGGCTTCTACCCCCATCTAATCTTATCCACCCCCCCCCAAGCTCTTGCTCCCCTTCCCTTCTGCTTCTATCGACCATTCCATCCTAGCTCCTGTCTCCTTCGTGCTCTGCTCCCATCCAACTCCTCCAACCTCTTGCTCCTGCCTGCCTCACCATTCTCCATGTCAGTCAGACATCCTATTCCTTCTCCTCCATGTTGCCTGGGCATCACCAGGAGGACCACTGGAAATACAGGAGAGACAGTCCACCTATTCTTGGTTCCTGTGCCTGGCATCGCAGCAGCAGCTGCAGACAGCAACTGCAAGGAAAGTCCAGCTCAGTCCTGGGCTGGCACATGCTCAATGCAGATGGAATCTTTGGAGTTCTTAGCAGTGACGCTGTAGGAAGTCTCTACTGAGCTTATGCAAACTGAGATTTTTTTTCCAGAGGCTTATAACTTGGCCAAATTAGGGGAAAATAACATGGGGACAACAAAAGGCACATCCCTGACATCAGGGTGACCCCCCTCTCTCCCTGCCAAATTTTAAGCCTCTGATCTGAAGCATGTTGATGCTAGAACTTCTCAACCAAACAGGTGTAAGAATATTTTTAAAATAAGCAAAACAATGTATTTTCCCCTACTCTCATTCTTGGAAATGGCTGACCAGTTTTGCTGAAACTTTCCCAAAACATTCAGCCTGAGGCAGAAACCAGGGGTAGAAAATTTCAAGCTGAACAGTTACATTTTGGCAAAGTTATAAGCAACTGAAAACAGCATCTTATAATGGAAAGCACTGGGCAACCTTAACTATAGGCAGTGCTACCAGCTCCACATATAATATATTGTGACAGATGTTAAACTGATGTCAATCAGAGTTGCTTCATTATGGAGTGACAAACAGCAGCTGAGGATCTGGCTGCTGATCTTGGCATTGCCCTCTTAATTCAGGGGTGTCCAACTTTTTTAGCCTGAAGGACCAACATAGTCTTTCACTAAGATTAAGGAGTCACAATGTAATACTATGGGTAGATTTTCTGCCCTGGTTCATTCCCCCTTTGCACGGATTAGGCAGTACAAAGGGGCAGACATCACCCACAAGTACTGGAGATTACCCCAGAGTCGAATTGTCCCCAGCAGCCATAGAGTCAGCATAATTGGCTCTTATGCCTCCCACTCCACAGTTCATGGTGCAGAGGCAAAGGCGAGGGGGAGGGAGTGTGCTGTGCTTCATCTATCCCCAGCTGGTGTATGTTGCCATGGGGACCATAGCCAGCTGGCACAAGTTAGTGCAGACCTCAAGCATGGCAGGGAATCAGGGAGTTGTATATGGCGGTTGGTTCTCAGGTTTTCATCTTTTTCCACCTTTTCTGTGTCAAGGAGAGGAGCCATCAC